TGGACATTCACCAAGAAGGCCAGTGAGCATGAAGGAAAGCCTGCCGGCCATAGGGGAAAGCCTGCTGGCCATCAGTGTGCCACTGCCGACCACTTATGAGCCACTGTCGGCCATCAATGAGCAAGTGCCAGCCATCAATGGACGACTTTCTAAAACGTCGACATCTGTCCGCCACTCACTGCGTTATCTTCTATATGTGTTCCAGCTTCAGGATTTCGTTATTCTAACTCAGTTTTTGCACCAAATGGAAGCATTTCTTGTCCAAAATCTCATAAATTGGATTGCCAACTTGGATGGCTCGGAAAAGCTGAATTTTCGGGGCTTCGACATAAATGCACTATTCACTTTGAGTCGCACCCCGCTGCGTTTTCCGTTCCTCCATGCCACGGCAAGGTTTTGGAATCCGGTAACACACGTCTTTAGCTTTGGCGGGCAAGAGATATGTCCTACCTTCAAAGATTTCCAACCTTTAATGGAATCCGAGCGCGATGAAGAAATCTTGCCTTAGCTACGGTTCAGACACGTTCAAGCCTTAGGACGGATGTGCGGGCTTACTTTGCATGACGCTCGGTCATTAATTCACGATGGAGAGCTGGACATTCCGAGCTTGGTTCGTCGGTTTTCTGATGCCGGTGACCGCGGCGACCATCATTGGCAGGGTTATTGGCGACATGCGCTTTGCTTATGCATGTTGTCTCATTTCTTACTTGCCCCAGGCTCCGGTGGGTTTAGCACTCATTTGATTGAGGTCGCCGAGGGCTTAAGAGGGGGTAAGAGCTGCATCGCTATGACGCTAGCCAAGACACTGATGGGCTTGGACGCTTTTCATCGCCGGGAGACGACTAGATTTGCGGGGAGTCCACTACTACTGTAGGCAATGTTTCCCACCCCATCTCACATATATTGCTCAAATCACTCGGCCCTCAGGCTCGGTTTTTCTCTCAAAACCCTTTTCTCACTTTTCTCTCAGCGTACACCTCTCTATTTTTTAATCTCTCATTTTTCATCCCTCCCAGGTATGGTTGATGGACAAATTGAGAGTGGTGGACTCATGCTCGGCATACTCAGCTCGTAGCTATTTCTTCTGGCGATGTCTAATCATGCCCCAGATGAGGGATGGTGGTACAATTAGATGTGTAATTTGTCTGCTCTCGACATTGCTTGGCGCTTCCCCTGGCTCAATCTACCGGCAATGAGTTACAATATGACTTACCGGCCTGGGATTCAGTTGATTGGCCTGACACATTGTATCTGTTACTTTCTGTTCCGGATCCGGCGCTAGTTCGAACATGATCAGACTTGCCTGGAGGAGGGAATAGAGTACCCTGCTACATTTCCGGTCTGAGGCGCACAACTTGCTCGATATGTCGTCGCATGGAGGACGAGAGAGCTTTTGGTCCCCGCTTCCACTTTCAGTTGCACCCTCTCTGATCAGTGCATAGATTGGCTCAAGGAAGAGGCACATGTAGGGCCCACTTTGGCATCAGAGGTTTCTCAAGCTCTGGGAGGGGGGGCAGGAACACCTGACTATGCCCCGAATTTATTTGCTTTAATCAGTACTTTCAAGTTTTCTTTATGAATGTAATAAAAAGTAACTTCAATTTGTATTCAAGAGCAGGAGAACTTTGTATTGAAATCAATGTAATTGAAGGTTGTGGGTACTGAAAATTTCCTGTTTGGTCAAAAAATGGTCTAAGTTGTAAAAAGATTAATTTGAGCAAAATCAACTTTTATTAAAACTTTTCAAAGCCATTTTCGATATGGATCAGAACTGGACACGCCCGAGATTTATCACTCACTACAACAAAAAAGGTCTATGGTGACGAAAATGCATGACGAAAAAATATTTCGTCTCCAAATAAACATGTTTTAGTGATGAAAATAAGATTTCGCCTCAAATTGTACTATTTTTAGAGACGAAAACCAAATTTCGTCACCAAATGCTTAAAATCAAATAAAATAGTTGGTGACAAAAAATTTATTTGTCTCTAAATTTTATTTTTCGTCACAAAACAGTTTCTCACCCTGGGAAAATTTGGCGGAAGATTTGGCGCCATTTTGGAGACGAAATTTTTCGTCACCATTGTAAAAAAAAATTAGAGAGGAAATAATTTCATCTCCAAATGTATTATATTTAGAGACGAAAACCAAATATCGTCACCAAATGCTTAAAATCAATAAAAAAAAAAATTTGAACCATGAGATATCTATCTCTCTGTTTAGATGCATGTATTTTACTTTCTATATCTCTCTGTCACCCCCTCACCCATTCATCTCCGTCACACCGTCCGTCCATCTTTGTCGCACCGGCTAACCCGCACGTCGCCTACCGGTGCTCGCTACAACAGGTATCTCTCTCTCTCTCTCTCTCTCTCTCTCTCTCTACCATATTTTGTATCAAAACTACGTAGTTTTGAATGTTTCCTAATATTAATTAATTTTGTTACGATTTGAAATAACTATTAATAATCAGTTCAAAAAAATATATTAATAATTAAATAATAAATTATTAAGAATATAATAATAATTATTTTTTAATAGAATTATTATTTATTAATTAAAATCATAAAATTTCTTAAATTTATTTATTTTCATTCAAAATATTAATTAAACCTTAATAAAGGTAAAATTACAAACATAAATAATAAAACTTAAAAAAATATAAATTAAAACCAATTTTTACTACAAAATTTTATACCATATTTCTTCTCAATATTTGAAACAAGCCCTTCTGAATTTTGCCTCAATTAAAATTTACTCATAAAATTTTGTCTAAATTTCTACTCCCTGGTCCCAAAAAAAAGAAAAAGGGAAAAATAGAGAAAGACTAACAGGGAGATGTGTTCGAGAGAGAGAGAGAGAGAAGACAAAGAGGAGATGGAGGGAAAAGAGACCATGAAGAGAGACGGAGGGAAGAGCAGTCCTTCAGAGCAACAGCCATTGCTTCGCTCGTGACGGCCATTGCGTTGCTCGAGCAGTCCTTCGGAGCTACCTCCTTCGCAGCCTGGTTCGTCTTCGCTTCTCCATCCGGTCGACAAAGACCCGCGAACGAAGCAAACGGAGCCGTCTCACCTCTCCCTCCGACCGGAGCTCTCGCACCTCTCCTTCCCACCGTCCAATTTCAGGTGCATGTTTAGATACTAGGGTTTTGAGTTTTGATTTGAGGCTTTTCAATTTGAAAATTAGGGCTTAGGGTTTTTCAATTTCAAAATTTGGGACTTTTCAATTTGGGGTTTAGTGTTTAACTTGGTTGATTCAGTTCCTGGTAGGTGTGAGTTGATAGATGAGGAACAAGCATTCGGGGTGATTGTGGATTATGCTCATGCTCCTGATGCCTTGTCTAGACTACTTGACTTTGTGAAGGAGCTTGGACCAAGGAGGATTATCACTGGTATGCTTCTTATATGCTTTATCAAAATGCAAATGATTGGTACCATATTTTTGTTGGCTTTTTACAGAGTTGTGGTTTGTCCCTTTTATAAAATCAATATTTGCAATTTTCACACAAGTGTTGATAGAAACTGATGATGTCTAGGTTTGTTGTAGCTCAAAAGTTTCTTCATTTGGTTTAAAAAATGGCTAGTTTTTTTTTTTTTTTTTTGACACAAACTATTCTTCCAGTTTCTTCCAAAATTTATTTATTTATTTATTAAAAATTAATTTAATGGCTATTCTTCATATTTATTAATTTATTAAAAAATTAATAAATAAAAAAAGAAGATAAAAAAAAGAAAAAGAAAAAAAGAACATGTGTTAAGTTTGCATTCCAAAGTTAAGTTTGCATTCCAGAGTTGAGATTGTCCAGGTTGAAGCCTCAATAATTTATTTAAAGTTTCAATAGTTCACCAAAGTGTTACTATTTATATTTCATCAAATGAATATTTAATTTTGGAAGTAGTCAAAATTGAGATGTTGAGAATTTGGAAATTGGTTTGATAGACATTTAGAGCCTTTTGTGGAATGAACTTCAGCTGTCCTTGATGTTGACAACTTTTATGTTTACCCTTTAGGCCGTGGTCTGTTGAGGAAGAAAAGGAATAGGTTAGAAATGCCATTTGCTGGAAAACTGATAGCCTTTATCTCTATGTGTGCTTGTCTTGGTGTACTTTAACCAGAAGCTTACTGATTTAGGAATAGCTAAAGTTCTTATAGTATGTAATTAAGTTTTCATGGTCGAACCTAATTTTCATGTTTTTCCAGAAGTTCTTATAGTACGTAATTAAGTTTTCATGGTCTAACGTAATTAAGTTTTTACTGATTTAGGAATAGCTAAAGCTTACTGATTTAGGAATAGCTAATGTTCTTATAGTACTTGTATTAGGAAACATCTGTTAAATGCTTTTGTAAGTAATATTGGGCTCATTTCCTTGAATTCTTAATATTGGGCTCATGTGTGTCTCTAAAAAAATGGATGGTCTATTTTCGGAAACACACTTGTCCATTTTTTGGAGGGGATTTCTGCTCTCATGTTATGAATTCGTATAAACACAGGTTTTGGAGGGGATTTCTGCTGAAATGTACATTTGAAACGAGTAAAGTGAAGGGTTGGAGATGCCTTTAGGCATATTCAATGTGCATGTCCAACTAGACATAGTGGACAAATATTTCATATCCTTACTCAAGTGTCGAGTGTCTGATATGGTTAATTAACAAATTTAGAAGAGCACGTGTAACACAAGTTATGATTTTCATTATTAACACAAAATTGAAATTAAAAAATAAAAATAAAGAAATAGGGAATAGGAAAGATAGAGAAGGATTACTTCAGGTTATGCATCATACTTTCTTTTTTCTTTTTTCTTGACAAGTATACATGTCATACATAACTTTATTTTCTAAGGATCCATTATTGCATAGCTTTGAGTTGGTTTTGTGAAAGAGAAAGGAATCGTGAAATCAATGTGCTTAAATTATTTGCAACACTCAAGAGGATTCACATTTGTTGTATATCACTTGAATATAAAAAGGCATTGAGTGCAAGTTTAGTGCATCTTACACCTTTGCATTGCAGCACCTACCTTTCTTATTTTCTTCATTTAATTCGGGGTCATGATGGGAGATAGGCAAGATTTGTACCAAATTTTCTACTTCTTTCTACAGTTTGTTGTGGTTCACCATCTCCCTTTTCTCTCTCTTTACTTTTCTTTTCTTTCCCCTTACTGTTTCTGAGAATCACATTAGACCTCCACAAAATTGGAAACTCAACTTTTTTTTGTTAATTTTGTCCATTTTTTCAAGTTATAGCACTGATATTGATGACCTTGTGTAGTGATACATACGTTACAGGGATAAACAACAATGAGTATCAAATAACAAGAGGAACAGTAAGTAATTTTCATGTTGGTGTATAACAGAACTATTTCTTCATATCTGCATTGATTTTGAATACATACTATTATAGTGGAATCTCCTAGTTAAAATTCAACTATCTTTCCTATTCATAACCACTAAAACAGTAAAGAGTTTTTTGCTTGTTTATATACTTTGAGTGCTTTGGTTGCTCTGCAGGAACTGAACCGCATTGCAAGAGTGGACAACAACTGCAGCTATGTGAAGGCTGACTTCATGAATATGCCATTTTCTGACAACAGTTTTGATGCAATATTTGCAATAGAAGCTACCTGTCATGCACCAGATGTGGTATGCTGTCTGAATGCTCATTAGGTTCATGTGTAAATTTGTCTAATCTTACATATCGGGTTGTATAGGTCCCTCTATTTATATATAATTTGTTTAATCCTTTTGTGTGTGTGTGTGTGTGTGTGTGTGTGTGTGTGTGGGTGGGTGGGTGTTAACTAGGTGGATTGCTACAAAGAGATTTTTAGAGTGTTGAAGCCTGGCCAATGTTTTACTGCTTATGAGTGGTGCATCACTGATTCTTTTGATCCCAACAATAAAGAGCACCAGAGAATCAAGGTTCTACTGATTCAACATGCCTTTTGACTTGCTTTCTCTGTTGGAAAACAAACTTAATTTCTTTGGAAACAGGGTGAGGTTGAGCATGGTAATGGACTTCCAGATATAAGGGTCAATGAAACAATGTCTTGAAGCTCTGAAACTTACACTCAAGAGGATTCACATTCACTAATGTAAGTTGTAAAAATTTACGGAACAAGCACGGTAAAATTTGGTTTAAAATTTACTTTGAAATTTTTATTTTTTCTCTTCTAGGTTGCATATTAACATATTTAGTGAATGGTTACCTTAACCTTTTGTTGTTGTTATTGTTGTTTTATTTTTTCTTTTTTAAATGGCAGATTGGAGATGAACGAATTTGGTGACCTGCATAGCACGAGTTTATTGTTAATATTACCAGACACATCCATCACAGTGTAGTTTTACTTTTTGTTGATATTACCAAACATGTATTTTGACTATGTTGTTGTGGGTTATGATTATATTGTGATGTATCTTATCTTTTTGTTGATATTTTATTGAATAGATTAAAATGAACAGGTTTTTGTTGATGTTACCAAATGAACAAGTTTTTGTAATGATTTGTAATGGATATTATATTCAGCAGGTTATTAAAATGCACAAGTTATTTTGATTGTGTTGTAGTTTTTGATTTTACTAGAATAGATGTTATAGTTTGGATGTTATATATTAATTTCTTGATACTATGATACATGTATTTTGTTTGGGTTGTTTTATGATAATGAACAGCTTAATTTTATATTGATTTGTATTAGATATTTTATTTAATAGATTATTAAAATGTACAGGTATTGTTTATTGAAAAAAATATATAAATTGCAAATATAACCCTCCCCTCAATTTTTGAAATTTATTTATTATTGGCGACGAAAAAAAATTGACACTAAAACTTTCTAATCCCAACAAATAATTTCGTCACACATATTTACTATTTCATCACTAAATTAAAATATTTGTTGACAAAAGTTTTCGTCACTGAAGGATCTTTTTTTTTCCATCTTTTGGTGACGATATTTTCGTCACTAAAAATTTTATCGCTATTTTTAATGACGAAATATTTTGTCACCCAAAACAAATATAATAGAAGTTTATTTAATTCTAGTGACGAAATGGATGTTATAGGTGACAAAATATTTAACATTTAGTGACGAAATATTTTGTCACCAAATACCAATAATAGGTGACAAAATAAATTTTCGTTATCAGGTACTTTTAGTGACTACGACTTAATGACGAACGTGGTGACGAAATTATTTAGTCACGGATCAATTTGGTGACGAAAATTTCACTATTGGAGACGAAGTGATTTCGTCATTAAAGTACTATTTTGTTGTAGTGACTAAGATGTACAACCCCGGATCCCAGCAACTGGAAAGTTGCCCTTAGTCTGAATAGTAATGTACTGGAGATCACAACTAAGCTCCTGAATGCAAAATAGACAAAGATGACCAAACATGATCACATGGACAAAGTTGATCGGGGAAGTGTTTATGGCTGGACTTCAGGATGAAGTTGCCTACATATCCCAAAGATGGGAATCAAGCCTTACGTAGTTCGGCTTTAGTTCACTCGTGTATTAATTCTCTTCTTTTGCACTTTAACTTTTGCCAAGGCTGCCCTTTCTGGGTTTTCAACCTTGCGAGCTCAGTTTTTATATTTTCAAATTTTTCATGCTCTAACTTTTGCCTAGGTCACCCTTTCGGGTTTTCGACCTAGTGAGCCACTCAGGGAAAGTATTTCTTCAACTTGTCCATGTTGATTGGTTCGGAGAATTCTAGGCCATCTAGGTCAATCAGAACGACAGCTCCACCCGACCAGATAGACTTGATTTTGTAAGGACCAGTCCAATTAGGTCTGAACTTACACCAAGGGTCGTGGATGGGAGCTCGGTTATCTTTGAGCCCCAAATCTCCTTCTTTCAAATTCCTGGACTTAACCTTCTTGTTGAAAGCCCTGACAATTCGTCGTTGATAACCCCGAACATGGTACAGTGCTTTCAGCCTTCTTTCATCAAAAGCATGAGTTCTTCAAACCTGCTTTGCTGCCAATCTGCCTCAGCTATCTGACACTCAGCCAGTACTCGTAATGACGGAACCTCAATTTCAATAGGCAGAACGGCCTCCATCCCATAGACTAAGGAATACGAAGTCGCCCCAGTAGAAGTTCGAATTGAAGTCCGGTAGCCCCACAGAGCAAACGACAGCTTATCTGGCCAGTCCCGGTAGGTTTCCACCATCTTTTGCAGAATACGCTTGATTTTCTTGTTGGCGGCCTCAACTGCTCCGTTGGTTTGCGGTCGATATGTAGATGACTTATGAAAAGCCACATTGTATTTCTCCAACAAGTCAATCACTTCTTTCTTGAAATGGGAACCATTATCTGAAATGATCTCGTTCGGGACCCCGTAGCGATAGATGATGTTGTTCCTAATGAACTTGGCAACGTGCGATGCCTTCAACACCGCATAAGATTGGGCCTCAACCCGCTTTGTAAAATAATCTATCGCGACCAGAATGAACTCATGCCCATTGGACCCCTTCGTAGTGACAGCCCCGATCATATCAATCCCCCAGACTGAAAACGACCATGGTAAAGTCATGTTGTACAGCTTCGACGGCGGAATGTTCATGCGGTCTCCATGGATCTGACATTTGTGGCATTGCCGGACAAAGCCAATACAATCCTCCTCCATGGTGGACCAGTAGTAATCCTGTCTGAGAATTTTCCGGGCTAGCATCACCCCGTTCATGTGCGCTCCACACTCTCCTCCATGGATGGCCTCCATCAGGCGCTTGGACTTTTCAGCATCAACACACAGCTTATGCATCCCGAGATGACCTCTCTTGTACAGTTTTCCCCCGCAGACGATGAACTGAGCAGCCATTCTTCGAATTGCCCTTTTTTCTTTGGCATTCGCCCCCGGTGGATACGCCACTTTTTCCTAGAAGTCCCAGACATCGTAATACCAAGGGTTCTCATCTTGTACCTCATCTATGGCAGCAATCAGCTCGTAGGCCGGTGCAATTTCTGTTCGATGATGATCGGACGCATCTGGACTCCGAAAAGGATATCTATCATAGAAGATGGAGTTGCTAATGAATTTGCGAACCTGTTGTTCTCTCTTAATAGATGAGCGAAATTCAGTTTCTCAAATCGAGGAATCAGCATGTCCAAGGTCTGGTGGTAGATTCTCATCTTTTCTTCTTTGACTTTCCAATCTCCTTTAGCTTGAGATACAACAAGGTTCGAGTCCTCGATGACGTCCAACTATTTTGCCCCTAGTTCTAGAGCTGCTTTTAATCTAGCAATACACACCTCATACTCTGCCTCATTGTTCGAGACTTTGAACCGAAGTTAGAATGCTAGAGGTATACGGGAATTGTCGGGCGCTATTAGCAACACCCCTATCCCATACTCCTATTGGTTTGACGCTCCGTAAAAGTACATCATCCAAAACACTTCTTCGACATACAAAATGGCCTCATCTGGGAACAAGTACTCGACTGCTTCATCCTCTTCCACTGGGTGATCGGCTAAGAACTCCGCCACTGCTCTCCCTTTCACTGACTTGCGCGTCATATACTTTAGATCGAATTTGGAAAGCAGAAGCAACCAACGAGCTAGCCTACCCGTAAGTGCTGGCTTCTCGAAGAGATATTTAATAGGATCTAATCTTGAAACCAGTATTACAGAGTGAGCTAATAGGTAGTGCCACAGCTTCTTGGTAGCCCATACCAAGCCCAGAAAAGCCTTCTCTAGCAGAGTGTAGCGGGTCTCATAATCTAGCATCTTCTTGCTCAGGTAGTAGATAGCTCTCTCCACCTTGTCCTCAGACTCCTGTGCAAGGATGCAGCCCATTGTAGTTTCAGTCACTGAAAGGTACAGAATCAACGGTTTCCCCGGCTCAGGCAATGACAACACAGGTGGGTTCTGTAAATATTGCTTAATCTGTTCAAAAGCAGCTTGGCATCGGTCGTCCCATTGGAATTTCTTTCGTTTCTTCAGGAGATCAAGGAGTGGTTCACAAGTCAAGATTAATTTTGTAATAAACCGTCTTATGAATTGCACTTTACCCAGAAAGCCTCGCACCTCCTTTTCAGTCCTTGGTTGTGGCATTTCTAAGATGGCCTTGATTTTGGAAGGGTCGATCTCGTTACCTCTCTGTGTGATCAAGAACCCCAACATTTTCCCTGTTGTAACACCAAACGTACACTTCTGAGGATTCAGCTGCAACCGATACTCTCTGATCCGTTGAAAGAACTTTTGCAAGGTGGTGTAGTGGCCCTCTCTTTCCTTGGACTTGACAATCATGTCATCCACGTACACCTCAACCTCTTTATCGATCATGTCATGCAAAATCATGGTCGCAGCCCATTGATATGTAGCACTAGCATTCTTCAGCCCAAACGGCATCACCGTATAACAATAGGTCCCCTACAGGGTGGTAAAAGCAGTCTTCTCCCGGTCTTCGGGTGCCATCAATATCTAATTGTAGCCTGAAAAGCCATCCATAAATGAGAGTAATGCATGCCAAACAGTGAAGTCCACTAATTCGTCGATATGCGGTAGAGGAAAGTCGTCCTTCGAGCTGGCTTTGTTCAAATCCCTGAAGTCCACACATACCCGAATTTTTCCATCCTTCTTCGGCACTGGAACTATGTTGGCCAACCAAGTTGGATATTCAGATACCAGCAGGAACCCCGCGTCAATTTGCTTGGTAACCTCTTCTTTGATCTTGAGAGCCCAGTCTGGGCGGATCCTTTAGAGTTTTTGCATAATAGGTCGGGCCTCTAGGTCAAGAGGGATCCGGTGCTGTACAATCTTAGGATCGATTCCAGGCATGTCTTCGTAGGACCACGCGAAAACATCTTTAAAATCTTTTAATAAAGTGACTAAGCGCTCGCGCTCCTCTGAAGACAACGTGGACCCGATCTGGACCAGCCGCGGGTCCTTTTCAGTACCAACATTAATTTGCATGATTTCATCAACCAACGATTTTACAAACC